GCTTTGCAATCGCAGCCTTGGCCTTAGATTCTGGCTTCATCCCTTTCTAGCCTTGGCTTTGGTGAGTCACTTGACCTCTCTTACCTCACTTGTAAAATTATTATAACAGTACTGGAAATTTCCTTATACACAACTTTTAATGTGTTATCAAATTTTTAAATGTTTAAATTTCTTTGATATCCTTGGTTAAAGGTATTCCACTCAAGTTTCTGAACCCACGGTACTTTCTTACGGTTTGCTGCAGAAAACCAAGTACTTCTAACAAGCAACTGCGTTAATGACTTTTCCCTCCTGCATAGTTCTTGGTCATCTGCCTCAATGCTGCAACTGAAACTCCTTCCTAGACTTCAGTGAGGCCTCAGACATTGCACGACTCTGAACCAAACTCCAACAGTATGTGGTATGCATATGTGTGTGTGTGTGCACGTGCAGTCATTTTTCAGGACTTTTTTTTCCCCCCAGTGGATGATTCCTGACTTAATGGAAGGTCTTGTCTTTCCTGATCTCTTATTTGGTTCCACAGCCTAATTCACCGTGTTGAATATCAAGCTTATATAGCATAGATCTGTTATCCCTGAGTCATCTTAGTTTAAAGAAATAAAATACCAAACCTATTCATTTCCAACAAGGAATTTCTTATGAAACATAAAGGCATAAATGTTAATTAAAATGAAGAATTAATTCCTTATAAGCATGTGTTCCTATTGGAAAGATCTTATATATTTTTCAGATTTGCACTAGTATGAAAGGTTGTCTTGAATAAAATGAAGTCAAAGAGTTATGTAGACTTTATTTTAGAAATACACTTCTGTAACCCTTCTAAGTTTCTAACAAACTCAGTTGATGTTTCACCAGTTTTTTTTCTTTTACAACAGTCCCGTTCATGAGTTCCTGAGTAAAAACTTTAGGGAAGGGGATATTTTGGAAAAATGTTTGTTAGCCTAAGTCTTCATGTTAACAACAATACTATTAAAAAGTGTCTTTTAATTAAAGCTCTTAATTAGTTAAAGCACTTTTTAATATCAACTTCTATAAAAAGTAAATGGGCAGATTATGATTAAAGGAAATACATTAAAATGATATTAGTGATCATATTATAAAGTATTCTCCTGGCAAAAGGAGTCAGAAAATTTCCAAATCAAAGAGGGCACATTTCTTATTTTTATTTCTATATCTGATACTCAACCAAACAATGATGACAAATGTGTGGAGCTGGTATTCTCTATAAACCCCCCCACCCTGCGGAGGGCAGCTGAGGTGCCACGCTGGAATGTGTGACCTTCCCGAGCAGTGGGTGTACACTTACTGGGATATGGTTCTCGATGGGAAAAAAGAGCATGGACTCTGTATGGAGCAAGGCTACATGGCCTCCCCCTTCTTCACTGTCTTCAACTGTGCAGTGGGGACCGCTAACACCCACTGGTGGCTGCAAGGGTTCTATACAGGGTCAGGGACAGGAAGTGACCGGAAAGGAGGAGCAGGCCCTGTTCCTCAGTCACGCTGGAAGGAACAGGAGAGCCACACATTCTGGATCTTACATACTGAAATAATTTCTGAAAACAGAATTTTAAACGTGAGCTAATGTTTTGACTTCAACATCCATGGTTCCATTCTGCCAAGTGGATTGGAACAAGGAGATTTACAATTAATTAGAACCTAAAGGTGTTGCTTTTATTTATTTATTTTGGAGACGGAACAATTCTGGAAAGGATATGAATGTGCTGTTAGTGCTGTTAACCAGGTGTAGCAATAGTGTAATGAATGTTAGGGCCCATATCACATTCTTTTTCTTCCCACATTCTTAATTTAATCCTGCTTTAAAGTACTAATTACCATTCCAGGATTTTCTGTTGACTTTCTATGAGGCAGACATACGGGACAGGACGCTCTGAAAATTCAATCAGAAATCTGAATCTATTTAATTAGAAACCAGAATCTCATATCTCCAGAAACACATGCTTAAGCAGCAGAGGGCAAAAGTCAACTACACAAAGCTGATAGTATCAGGACCATATGTGGAATGAATAAGACTAGAAGAAGCCTGGGATAAAAGCTAAATGGAACTAAAATTCATAGCAATAGACAGACTCCTTGTACACAAGAACTATGAGCCCTGCATTTCTGTATACTACAAGTGGGAGCTAAACTGTTAATATGTATCAAACTTGTACATGTCAGGCAGCCTTTTGACAGTTATACCTCATAAGGCATTTTAACATAACTTAGGGTGAATGTAAAAATTCAGCCACAGAGATGTTAGTGGCAGCATCTGTTCAAAACAATGGAGGCAACCTAAATATTCAAAACGGGAAACTGGTGAAAAGTCATGGTCTTTTCTACGGGGTAGAAAGTTGTGCGGCCTGCAAACACGGTAAATGAAGGTGCTTACGTATGTTTTGTGGTGGGAAGGAAGGCTATAAAATGATGTATTGTGTGAACACATTTTTAAAAAGTAAATAATGATTTAAAATATGTGTAAAAAGATAAGAACAATAGCAACCAGAATCTTAATAGTGGTTATTTTAGGGTAGTAAGATCGGTGTTTTCATATTTTTCTTTCAGCTTAACTGAATTTTCTTTTTGTCCCCAATGAATATGAATTATCAGTTGTACTCCAGAAAAAGGGGGAAAAAGCAAATTATGATTGGACATGCCAAGAAATAGGATAGTTTCATGTTTCTGAACACCCACTATATATCAGTCTTTCCAAACCTCCAGAAACTGAAGTCATGATAATCAACTTTACTTTGTGAATGTAAAACTAGTATTTATGGTGACAGGAAGCCAAAGAGAACTAAAAGTCACAGAAAGTTGACTCACAAAATAAAACACAAAGAAGATGTATTGAACCGTAGACAAAATCATGGGCTTTGAAGTACTTCATAGGTGATGAACAGAACTGGCTGTAAACGAAGTAAACTTCATGACAAAGGACAGAAGGAGAGGCTCCAGCGGAGCCATGAGGATGTCTGCACGGACTGATCTCGAGGGCAGGCCCCAGTGGCCGGCGTGGATGGTTTATTTGTGGGCACACGTTACAGAAAGGGTGAGTCATCGCAGCCCTCCACTGGCCACTCACTCGTATTGGTCTGCCAGACGCAGGAGTCTGTCTGGAACGTGACAGGGAAAGTTGATGGCGGGGGCACACGGAGTCCATGGTTTACGAGGCAGTGACCCTCACACTGGGAGGAAGAACTGGTTGATGAATTGCTTAATTCCTGGGGCTTATTTTCTTTACACGGGCACTCGCCTTAAATTGATTGGTAATTTCATTTTGATCTTTTGTCACTGTCTCCTTTGGCTGATTTTTGCTTCAGATGTTTACTCCACTGCTTTTTCGGGGGGTAGGGTGGGGTGAAGGCCGGTGTCAGGATAAACATTACTGTTAGAATTAAAGCTTGCTTTGTAGAGTCTTGGAACAGAACTGTCTCTGAAGGTACCGGAAATCGCGGAGAGTGCACGCCATCTGTGGGGCCTGAAGAAAGCAGAGCGGAAAGCCGTTTTGCGTGGTCTGTCTCTTTGCCATTCGGCTGAGTTTTCTCTCAAGGCACCTTGAAAACAGACTCCTTGTTTTATGCGTCCTTTACATGTCTTAGAACCTTTCTACTGCCTGTGCTTAGAGAAGGTAAGCATGTTGCTATTTCATGAACTTATTTTTTCCAGTGTGTTAATTTTCTAGGGCCTGTAGCCCACATAAGTATTACAAAATGCTCCCAACTTCTAACTGTAATTATTTGGTTTCCAGGATATTCAGAATTAGAGGGGATCACTTTGGACACTGACGGCCAAGGGAGCGAGGGCTGACTTTCCAGGGAGGAGGGAGTGATCAAATGGAAAGGTCACAGAGGTCAAGACGGCTGGACTCCACACTCCTACCAATAACAGGAGGAAGCCTCTCTTCCTTGTGTCCCCTCCCACCTACTCAATGGCTGGACTTCTACCACGGATGTGGCATCTCTGTGGTTTGACTCCATTTAATTGATTAAGCTGTAGATATAAAGACCACCATGACGTGACTCTTGTCACGCTGTCTACTGAAACACAGTTTTGAAACTGCTAAAAAGAGAACACCATTTCTGGAGGGGAATGACTCTTTAAGATGTTGTTCATCATTCTGTTCTTTAGTGAAAATGGATGGCTATATCAATACTGTTTGTGAGATCCTAATTTGAAAAGAAAATAGTAGGCAGACTTTAGATGTCTGAAGGAAGGGGGTGCGGGACAGGGCAGGGGAAGAGGGAGACTGTGAGCAGGAGGACATGAGCGGATAAAGGAACAGGAGGTGGATGCTCAGAATTGCCAGCAGGTTTCAACACGTGGAACAGCAACAAGCCTCCAAACTGACTGATCTTTCCCACCAGAAAATCCCATCCACCGTCCCTCTCCCTGCATCTGTTAAAACTTTTTCCCAGACTTGAAATATACAGACGTTTGCAATAACTTTAAGTAAAACCCACAACTGTAGGCCTCCCAATCCATTGGTGTCACCAATGTAAGGTACACAGCTCTACCCCTAGCTGAAGTCACTGATTCATGGATCTCGTAAACTGGGAAATCCTGTCTTCCCGGACACGTAGGCCCTTCCCTAGGTTGGCAGCCTGGAGCCCCTGGACTCCTCCTAGCCTTTCCTTCGATGTAGAGGAGACGACCCTGGCTTTTTGTACTGAAGTCTGCACACCCAGATAAGAAGTAAAATCCTCCATCTACCCACCAGAGAGAAGACAAAACATCTGGCCTGCTGGAATCATTAAGCTGCTGGCAGGAATTGCTCAGTTTTCTTAAAGAAAGTAGTGGCAGGCACCCTGAAGACCAAGCTAGGATCTTTGAAGTTCAAAAAAACAAACAAAACAAAACTATATTAAAATTCAGGTTGAAAAATATGAACCACAGCGAAGCAGCAGTTCTGTTTTACCTCAACTTGCCAGAATGCTGAGCTGGTTCCCAAGCCTGCAGCAGACAGGTTGTCCAGGCTGGCGCATCCTCTTCAGAGAGGGCTGAATGAGGACAAGTCTTCACGCACTTACATTCCTGAAGCAGTTCCAAACATAATCATCGGAACAGTGCTGATCGTTATACGCAGGGCTCACGGAGGTCATCAGAGCTTTCAAAGGCTCTTCATATCAACAGTCTCACCTGACTGGCAATTCTTCTTATTTAGACATATTTTTTAAAGGAGATAAAACCAACAAATAAAAGAGACACTAGAGAGGCCAGGTGCCACTGTCTGAGGCTACACAACGAGCAAACAAAGAGGCCAATTCTACACGGAATCTCTCAGGGGCTCTCTCTACCACATTACAGTGTCTCCTACAACGACAATCAGTCGGAAGAGGCACACATGTCCTTGGGTGGAACAGGAGGCACGAGCTTGTCTTTTAGATGTTGGGAGTCTTGCAGCTGCTAGTCAGGCCACCAATGCCAATATTCAATGGTCTGTACCTTCAATTCTGCTCCAGAAGATCAGTGAAAACTCTCATGGAGGGAAGACGCCAGTGTGTAGCTGTGAGTGGAGCCCTTCAGGAGCGGTGAGCTTCAGTTTACTTGCCGGAGACACCAGCGAGGTCCCGCCAGTCCCGGCGGCGTGGAGTGCTGGGTGGCGCAGCCCCAGGCGGTCGCCCTGCTCTCTGTCGGGGCTGCAGACTACTACTTGATGTGTGACCGATGACATTTCTTTTCAGAAAATGCACCTTGAAACATTTTAGAAGCCAGAAAGTATTTTTAAGGGAAAAAAAAAAGAGGAAAAATAGAACAAAGTAGAAACAGCATCAAAGCCAGGACAGGCTATCGATCCAGAGACCTTGGCTTCAATTCAGCCCTGTCCCTTATTAACTGCAGTCTTGGGCAAATTACTTAAAATCTTCCCAAGCCCTGGTTTCCTCAAATATAACACAGGGATGGAGACATCTATCCTGCAGGTAGGAAGACGACAAAATTAAACGAGGTGTCTTGGTCTGCTTGGGTTGCCATGACAAAATACCACAGAATGAATGTTTAAATAACAGAATTTTATTTTCTCACAGTTCTGGAGGCTGGAAGAAGTTCAAGAGCAAGCTGCCAGCATGATCAGGTTCTGGTGAACACCATGCCCCTGGTGTGCAGAGGGCCACCTTTTCACTGTGTCCTCACACGGAGAGAAAGGGGAGGGGACGAGGGTACAAGTGTACATGTTCCAGCTCTCCAGGGTCTCTTCTCAGAAGGGACCCCATCCCACATAAGGGCCCCGCTCTCATGATACCATCGAACCCGAATGACCTCCCGAAGATGCACCTCCAAATACCATCATGTCGGGGGTTCAGGCTTCAGTACAAGAATTTTGAGAAGACTCAAACATTCAGTCCATAATATGAGGTAACATATGCAGGGCCTTAGCAAGCATCTCTACTGCTTTGTTTTAGAAATTGGAATTTGTTCCAGGAATGGCAAGGCATCTAGTTGTGAGATCATCTTTATAAGTTGATAACATTAAAATAATAATTGATGAGTCAATGACATTTCATCAATAAATAAATACCTCCATATAATATTTCCGAGTACCAGAAAATCCAGGAAAAGTTGAAGACTCAACTCTACTGTCTTTGTTTACAAACTGCAGTTAAATTCCACAAGGCTTCATGAGTAGATCCAGTTCTTGAAAGGGATATTTCAGAGGCACCAATTCGAGAAGCCTGGGCGATATGTAGTGTACCACACTTCCCAAAATGTGGTACAAAGGGCACAGATAATTGAAATCAGATGTTTGCATCTGTGTGTTTATAACAATGTATCCTTAAGTTCTATTGCCTTTCTGGACCTCTGTTGCCCACATATGTTGTTTTATCAGGCAGATTCTATGAAAAGCACCTGCAATAGCTCTCGGTACATAATTGGGTCCCAATAAGTTACTAGGCTATTGGAAAACATGGCTTCTAGTCCTGATTTTGAGACCTTGGGCAAATCATTAAACTCTCTGATCCTCAGCTGAATGAATATTTCCTGAATTCTCAGCTGAGACTTGGGCTCCAGACTTCTCAGTTTGGGCATCTGCTACCTGTTTCAGTTTTGGCTAAGTTTCTCAAGTTCCTCCCCCAACCATAAGTAGGAGTAATAGAGTAACCAGCCATGGGACTAAATGAGCATTCCTGACCCAGGGAAAGAACTCACAATGTGCTACTGATTATTACCACAGATAAACAAATGGTCACATCCCAGTTGGTAGGTGTCCAGCTAGGACTTGAGTCCAGGTGGTCTGACTCCAGAGCCTGTGCTTGCCACTCTATCTGGGCTGCTTCTCTACCGTTTCTAAGCTGGCTGTTAATACTACCAAGCTGCCACTCAAAGTATCTCCATAAATCCCCATGTGTGAAATGTCTTTTGCAATTTGGTGGTAGGAAAAGCTTTGTCTCCTACAAGAAACTGGTATGTTTCCTCTTTTTGAAAATAAGAGTTATGCAACTTATCATGTGTTCTTTTCGTCTTGGCTGCCAGGAAGCTCAGAGTCAAACTATGTGCTCAATCACCGCCACCAAGTCGTTTCCTTCTTCCTTTGTCTTTGTTCCTTATTTTTTTCCTTTAATTCCTTTTTTTTTTACTAACATTTTCATTTGTGTCTCTTGCTGATAGAGACCTCAATAGTATTTGGACAGTGGTGGATAGAGATGAAATAAGCAAATACAAATTTAAAATTTAAAAGAAAAACTTAAGTTTTGAACCTTACCTGTTCTACTTGCTAAAAGAAAATGGTCAAGGGGATATTTTAAAAAAATAATTTAAGGGCTACTTTAAAGGAGGAAAAAGCAAAAGGAAATCGACAGAAAAACAGAATGACCAGCACTAACAGAGGCCAAGTCAAATAAAAACTGCAATAAATATGTCTGAGGCTAGAAGTGTTTGTGCTTTCCCTGCCTGGAACCTATCATTTCTTAATTATATCTTATGTGTGTTTTGCAAGATGTGAGCTGCTGTCAAGAGGAAGGGCAGTCCAGACAGGGGAGGGGCCATGGCCTACCCCTTGCTCCTCACATACCTGTACAGAAGTGAAATCCCCTGAGGCACAGGCACCCAGAATAGCAGCACCCACGAGAACAGACTCCACCTCTTGGGACAGGACCACAGGCATGCCTGCACAGGACAAGACCACACCTTGGTTAGTGTATGGGCCTGGGGCACTGTGGGGAGCCAGCAAGCAGCCCGGCAGTAAAAACACCTTAAGTGAAGGTAGCAACAGGCACCTCCTTCCCAACCCTTGCAGTTCCTTATCTTTTGGGATTCCCTGGGTCTAAAGGGTTTCATTGCCTCTCCCTGCTGGTGCAGTAGCCAAGAGCCCCATGGGAGCCAACGCCATACAGATCAACTCATGAGACCTTTTTGCCCAGGCTCCCCAGGCTTCTGCTAGCTGCTGCCTGCCATTTGGTTCAATTCAGTTTAACAGACATTTCTTTTTTTTTTTAATTTTATTTTAATCATTGTTCAAGTACAGTTTTCTCCCATTTATTCCCATTCCAGCCCACCCACCCAACCCTCCCTACTTCCCTCCCATTACCCCCCCCACCCCTAGTTTTTTGTCCATGTGTCCTTTAAATTTGTTCCTGTAAACCCTACCCATTCCCTCCTGAAATTCCCTCTTCTCTCCCCTCTGGTCACTGTAACAGACATTTCTTAAGTGCTTTGCTGGGCCCAGGGAATACAGAGCTGAATTTGACTCTGTCCTGCTATTCCAGTCTCAAGGAGAGATGGATGAGAAAGAGATAAAGGAGGTCAATTCTGTAACTGAGATGCACTAAAAAAATGAAAGTACTACAAGAGGGTGTGACTAATCCCTCCAGTGGTTTCCAATGTCTCTGAATACAAGGCAAAGCCTTTCCATGGCTAACGAGGACCTCCAGGACCGGTGCCCACCCAGGTCTTCCTCTCTCCCCTCTCATCCTCGCCACATTGCCCTGGCCTCCTTGCTCTTTCTTAATTCTGCTTCAGGAGCCTCACCCATGCTGTTCCTCTGCTGGGGTCAGTCACTTCCTTCTGGATGTCCACACAACAACGACGTCTCACTCCAAGTCTGTGCAAACACACCCCTCCCACTGTGGCTTTCCTGACTGTCCAGTTTAAGACGACGACGTACCCACAGCACTCCTTCCAACACTGTGTTACTAAGTCTGTCTTCCCTGCTAGAACATAAGCTCCATGAGGGCAGGGGCTTTGTTCTGTCTGCTGCTGGATTCCAGGATTCAAGACCACTGTATAATATTTGGTAAGAGCTTCAATGAGGAAAGAAGACACTTCTAGCAGGGGCAGGGCATCATCAGAGTGGAGGTGAGGATTAAGGGTGCAGTTGAAGGATAATGCAGTGGGGGTCTGCCAGGCAGGGAGGAACACGCTGTGTGCCAGCTCCAGAGGCTGAGGGTTCATGGTGGGTTTAAGATGAATAACAATCATTCAGAAGACAAGCATGTGTATAATAAGTACAACGTATATAAAATATAGATGTATTTGCTAATCAGGAGACAGCAGCAAACTCCACAGAGGTAAGCTCTGTGGCCAGACCTATAAAATCTTTTCCTACGCAAGACAGTAGATTTATTTTTCCCAAAGCCTGGACTCCTCTTTTTATCTTTTCTGGGAAGACTTCCCTGACATAACCTCCTTTGTACTCCCACCATGTCCTGCCTCACCCTCCCACTCCAGGACTGGGCCAGCCGGGCAGCCATCCCAGACAAAGGGGGCAGGGAACGGAATTCTCACACACATCCCGGCACGCTCAGGAGTAGCAGCTTCATGCTGCAGGGCTGGCCCGTACTTGAGACTTTGCTAACAAGTAGCAGTTGGGATGGGGTCTCTGGGAAAAGCTTAGACCTGGTTCCACTAGCCCTGTGTCTTTTAGCACGTCACTTCAACTCTTCTAGCCTCAGTTTCCCCATGTGTAAAATGGTGATGATGAAGAGACTTTCCACACAGGTTTGCTGTGAGGATTAGTGAGAAAGGGCACACATGCAGAGCACATTTTCTGGCCTATGATGAGCCTTTAAGAATGGGGGCTGCTACTGTTAGAATTATTATTGATAGTGAGTGACGCCCTTCTGCATGCATTTCTCCTGGGCCGGAAACTAGAGCAGTAGGGAAGAAACATCTCAAGGGGAAGGACAGACACCAGTCTACACTGAAGGGCTGTGTCGCCCAAGTCGGGAGAATGCCTTAGCAGAATCCTGGGGTCATACACACTGTGACTGTGACCGTGATGAACCCCATGCACTAGGGCTTTTGAGAAGACAGTTTCTCCAAGTGTCATTCAGCTCCCAAACCCCTCTTCGCCCTGCCAAAAAACCTCCCTGGTTCTGAGCAGGAAGGAACCAGCTGCAGGTCCCTTCCACTGGGGACTGGAAACCAGAGGAAACCTGCTGAGTTCCCCCACCAGCTCTCCAGTTGCAGCCCAAAGCTCTCTGCAGCCAGACTGCCAGGGTTTGCCTTCTGGTTCCCTTGCTGACTTAGCTATGTGATCTGAGGCAAGTTAGCTAAGCTCTCTGTGCCTCAGTTTTCCCATCTGCAAAATGGGGTTAAAATTCCACCTACTTCACAAGGCTGCTTGAGGATTAAAAGTACTATTGAGGGTAAGGCACTTAAAATGGTGCTTGCCTCACGGAAAGCACTAAATTAGCACTAGCTGTTACCGCTGAAGTCTCCCCAGACCTGTTACCCTGGGTGGAACCAATTCACAGTTTCTATTTGCCCCTCAGGTCAATCCCACCTCTTCCTTCCAGCCCCTGACCTGCTCTAGGTGCTCTGGGTCCAGGAACAGTGTGTGGACACCTGTGGCCCAGTTGCCCTCTGGTTGCATTGTTGAGTAAGCTCCAGTCTGGCAGCTGTCCTCATGGAGCCCCATGGTTTTAGGTTGGTTGCCTCCCTGCCCTGGCCCCTGTACAAGCCTAGAGAGTTGGTAAGACTGTGAGTTGCCCCAGGCTGTTGCCTGGTGGCCAGGGTTTCCCTACACCCTGCCCACACCTCTGTAAACAGAGCCTTTGTTTGACTTTTCTCCAGTTAATCCAGTTAGAGTATGTCCTCTACTTCCCCCTGGAGCTAACTCACAGTGACCCCAGCGTTCTCTGGTCCCCCTGAAGTCTCCAGACACTGGAGAGCACATCCATTCTCTGTCTGTAATGACCCAGTGAGCAGGGCATTATTGCCCTGCTTTACATCCCTACACCATTCTCGGTGCTGGGTTCACTGGCATGCTCAGGGAAGGTTTTGGAGGAAATAAACAAATGATAAATAAGGCAGGAAGAGGGAAACCCCTACTAAAATTGCTGGAACTGGAAAACAAAATCTAGAAGGAGGATCATTTAGTCCCCAGTCAGTGGGGGAGACCTACAATTACTTAGTACACACCAAGTATTTCTTGAAACCACAGTTAACTAAATGCCCAGGGCACAGAGAAATTCTGCCTCTGCATGTAGAGGACGTTTCCCAAGTTGGTGAGGCCCCACTCTTCCTGCTTGCAGCGAGCAGGCTGTTCCTGAAATGGCAGATGTTTACGTACAAAACATTAAACTGTTTTCTCCTCAAACACACCTCTTCTTTTTGGTGTGCAGCTGGCTAAGGAAAGAAGCGAACTAACATTTACAAGTACTTATTCCTTATTACGATTTGCAGGAGGGGAATTACCATTATTTCTATCTTTTAGCAGAGAGAAATGAGGCTCAGAGAGGTACAGCAACTTGCCCAGAGTCACAGAGCTGTTCCCACCCCCAACCCTGCTCTTTCCATCACTCCACACTTTCCCCAAAGCATCTTCCACATTCCACTGGGTTTTCCACAGGCATTCCTGAGAATCATGTACCAGGTCTGAGGTCCCTCGAAGTTTTTCTTTGCAGGAAAACTAGAGCAATTACAATGTGTAAAGGCACCAAAAACTCTACCTCTACACCCTCTGCTCTGTATGTGTCTTTTATAGGAACAAAAGCAAATGTGTTCTTTTTTTCCCAGTGCTGGGTGCAGGAGAGGAAGAAGGCAGCTTTGACTGGAATGTGAACTATTTTATCTGATGCATTAATGAGTTTAGCAGAACCCAAAGCATTTAAAGGCAGATGCACTTTGCCATCACTTGTCAGTCACAGGCTTCCCAAAGCAGAGGAATTCCAGGCCAAAGAAAAGGTCCCTTTGTCTGCGACTGTAACTGGTCCATAGTCAGAGACAAAGGGTCCAGTTTCAATTGGAATCCAAATAACGATTAACAGCTTTTTCATTCAATGGCCTGAAGAACAGTTTCCAAAGCAGAACTTTCTGTGAAGCCATTGCAACCCCTGCTTCTGAGTCAGCTCAGGGATGTAAGGCCTGGAAGGGGACCCACTTTCATAAAGGCCGGAGCCTCCACGCCTAGACGGGAACCGGGGTCACTCATTGCGCTCTGCTCTTGGAGGCCTGCTTCCCATTCCCTCTGCTTAGCCAAGAGGGAATGTGTTAGGCAAGCTGATTTTATCTTCCAGTAGGAAGTGTTTGTGGCTGCTAGAAGGCTGAAAATTGGAAAGTCACTCACAGATCAAATTTTAAGTCTGACTCTTATCTGAACCAAGCTGCTAGCTGAGTTTTAGATAAAATGGGTTTTCTCCAGGGGAAATCACAATGTAATCTGGGTGCCTTTTCATGTCTTTCCTATTTCTGCCTCAGAACGGCCTGCTTCCATAGGTTTTGGACACTCGGAGAAAGAAGTCTTCATCATCAATGGTTACAAACTGGGCAGAAAAGCTAAGATACCTGGGTTATGATCGCTGTTCTGCTCCTTACTGGATGTTTGAGTTTGGCAGTTGGTTTAATTCACCTCCATGAACCTCAGTTTCCCTGTCTGTAAGATGGGGGCATCAATTTCTACATTTTGGTGGTGTGTGAGGACTAAATGTATATGGAGAGATTCATTCACACAACACACAGAGGGAGCTTGATTAATGGTAGTAATTTCCACACCTAATATCCTGATATGTTTGCCCTTAAACTGTGTAGTTTCTTATTTTGTCCTCTGGCTTGTGCCTCAGTCTACTTATCTCTAACATGGGAGGCAACTTTTGTTTGATCTCATAATATACTGGGGTCAATTACACCCATCACATTTGGGAAAGCTCTCACCTGTAGGAATCTGCATAGCTTAGGGGGAAAAGAGGCAAATGATGTAGCAGAGTAGGAGCAGTGAACTTGACCCACTGAGCTGTTAGAGGTAAGGGATCCAGAAGGTGTGGGATAGCAAAAGATCATGATAAATGGAGACCAGTGTAGGGTGGGCTCACATCAGGCTGGAGCTATGGTGCCTGGCCACCCTGGGATGGGTCCTGGGAGGAGAACAATAGTCCCCAGGAGACGCTGGCAGAGATAGGAGCAAGAGGGGTTAAGGGCACCAGGTGTAGAGAGATGGGAGTCCCAGCCAACCTCTGCAACACCAGCAAACCTCCTACCAATGGGGCCCCCTGCTTGGGACTCAGGGGTCTGCTCATATCACAGAGGGATCAGTCCATCAGTCTGGACTCTCTCCATCTGTGTCATGATTTTGATTCTGATGAGGGTCTCAGGGTCTTCCCATCTGCAGCCAGACCCATAGTTCTCATAGTAGCTGGGTTCTCTATTCCTTCTTCAATAGTTTCCTTATCACTTTCTCCCGGTCCTTGGCCCTGCACCATCCTAGGTCCAAAGCACGGAGAGGGGCCCCACTGTGTTTTCATAATATCCCGTGCTCTTCTCACTTGCAGCTCTCGCCACACTAAATTTAACATGTCTGCATGCTATTTGCCTTCCTCAACAGACCTTGAACTCCTTGGCGGCAGACATTATACCTTATTCATTTCTGTAACTTCAATATTCCCCACAATGCCCTGAAGAAGTACTCAAAACTGTTGAGTAAATGCTTGAATTAGGATCCAGCCTTGCTGACCTCTTTTGTCTCATTTCTCACCATCATCCCATGGCTGGATTCTCAAAGAAGTCTCTTTCCCCATCATGACTACGAAAACTCCACAGTTATCTTTTAAAAAACACATGTTAAGCCCTAGCTGGCGAGCTCAGTGGATTGAGCGTGGGCTGCAAACCAAAGTGTCGCAGGTTCAATTCCCAGCCAGGGTACATTCCTGGGTTGCAGGCCATAACCCCCAGCAACCGCACATTGATGTTTCTCTCTCTCTATCTCCCTCCCTTCCCTCTAAATAAATAAATAAAATCTTTAAAAAAAAACACACATGTTAGCGTAGCACACATTCGAAACAATTTGGCACACCACTCATATCCCCCTATTCTCATCCCTGTCTGGATCACGGACACAGCCCTTTGCCGCCAAGCCTAAGGTGACCTTCTCTCCTTCTCAGACTTACCAGTAATGTCTGCATGCATTTGCACAAAAAGGGGGTTCTTGCTCAGGCCTCCACACAGGAACAGAGTGCTGATCGAGTGCCCTGCTGCCTCCATGGCCTCTATAATGAGGCGGGTCCCAAACTGCAAGGGAAACACAGAAGAAAGCATCAGAATGGCAGCCAAAGAAAATGATGTCGACTGTTTACTAAGTGCTGACCCCGTGCCAGACACTGCCCTCAGAGCTCCGCAAACACCATCTCAGAAAGCCAAGACTCAGAGCCATCAGGTTGTCTCTGGTCACGGGGGTCATTAAGTCACAGAGTGTGGACTCCAACCTGGGCCTGCCTGACTGAAAATCTTCATTACTACGCCATTTGCTTTTAGCAGTTGTTCCATGATATTGATGAAAATAAATGACAGTATTAACACAGTTAATGCATATTAATATAGTTCATTCAAGCCAGTATTTGATGAGGGTTACTATGGCCCGGGTGTCCTCTCAGGTACGAGGGATGAAGTGATGGGCAACCCTGCTCTGAAAATAATGGTCAGTGGTCCCTGAGTCAACCTTTCTTCCCGAAATAAGAACTAAAGACGTTTGTTCCTTGAAAAAGACACCAACAAATTAAGCAGCAGAAACATGGAAAGAGGGCTCTCATTGCACAAAGAATGTGAAACTCAGACTTGGGGATGGCAAAGGGCTAAAATGACCTTGTTTTCACCTGAAACCAGGTAGTGGTTCCCATAATGAAGCTTCCAGAGTTGGAATCAATTCCCAGTCAGTCCTTAACGACCTAGGATGACACGGAAAGCACCTGCTCTGGTTGGCTCGGGCCTCTGCTGTATTTTCTTCTTAGCCCTGTGTCTTACTATCTTCATAAAATTTGTTATCCTCATCCTTTACTAAACTCAGCAAATAATGTTGAGGCTTGGGAAGAGGAGACCCTCGTGGGATCATCAAGATGAATCTTCGTGTACGATTCTTTAGCTTTACAGCTAAGATTTTCAAACAGCTAAAACCATAATTTATTTGGAAGTTCAAAAACTTTAAGTTCGCAAATCATAACTTTTTGGGGATAGGGATTAAAAACAAAAAAAGATGAATTGTGATATGGACTTAGATGACAGGAAGTAGTGTTTTGTTTTGTTTTGTTTTTTGGTGGAGAGATAACCCTTAAAAAGTTTAGAGATGGAGCAATTCTGGGGAATGACAAAGTCCTAGGTGTGGACATGCAAGCGAGATGCTGAAGTAGTCAGAGGAGAAGGTCAAGGGAGAGGAAGAGGTCAAGGATCTGATAGGCCACAGGTGGTGCAGCCACCAAGAAGGCAGGTTTGAGCTGGAGAGACTGCGTGGGCCAGTATCATGAATGAAATTGCAGCACTGCTGGCAAGTTGATTCCCCAGCACAAGGCAGTGGGGAAGGGGAGGGCGGGAATAAGGTAGTTTAGCTGGAGGGTATGCCAAATCAGAGGCTTAACCAAAGTAAAGTATGGAGACTTAAGAAGTGGTCCAAATGTATCTGTGACCCCCAGGGGGTGGAATGTAGAGCAAGCGAAGCCTCTTTTGACAAGGTTGTCTGCAGAGCTGTGTGTCCTGGTGCCTCCAGGAGAGGGAGTGACTAGAGGGTGATCTGGGGACCAGGCAGCATGAAATCCTGATTGCTGCAGAATAAATGATGAGGGAGGAAGGCAGTTGAGAAGCAAAAACACAGCAGTTCCAGCCCAAAGGTCCATGGGGTTTGTAGAAGTTATTAATGAATTTGGTAAGAATATGGATTAGGTAAAATTTGGGCCAACAAAGATAATTCACAGCTGTAGTGTTTTTTTTTTTTTAATTAAAACATGTTGTACCACATAAGGCCAGATCCTGCTTATTGATTATGGGTTGATTACCCCCAGATGTTCTTTCCTAAGGTTTTTGGCAGTCATGAACTCTCTTGAGAACATAATAAAACCTACTGACCTCCCCAGAAAAAATTTGTATACAAAATATTATTATGAATAATTTTAAGAGGCCTACAGATGCCCTTATGTCCACCACTGATCATTGAGTGCCCGTGGATTACAGGTAGGCCTCGACTACTCTAGAGGCATGAATCTACAGTAGCTAAGATCACGGCTTTTGAATTAAAAAAAAAAACCTAGGATGGTATTAAGGCATTTCACCTCTTTCTTGAATCAAACCTGTACCTAACCTTTCTAAGACTTCATTCTCATTTTTTAAATGGGAATAATAATATCATGTTTGTTCCTTTGAAAATTCTGTGTATTTTCAGAATTAACATGAAAAAACTGAAATGCAATTATAGGCTTCATAAAATACAGTGAGCCTTACCTTGCAAGGCTGCTGCTGTAGTCAGAGTGTCAAGGTAGCAAAGTGTCAAGAACATGGAAAGTGTTTAGAGGTGAGAGTCATTCTAGTCATTAGGCCTCTGCTACCCACTCAAAAATCATCTCCAATCAATGAGAAATTTAAAGACTACCTACTGTTATCCCCATTAAGGAGTTATATGATTTGCTTTAGGCAACGGAGTCCATATAGGGGGTTAAATGCCTCCCAATAGACACAGAAATGCTGTGCAAAATTGCTATTTCTCATGTTTCTAAAACCAGGGACTTGGGCTCAAGTGCCTAGAGGGCCTGGGTTGAGATTAACACAAAGCCCATTGCCTGGGAAAAGGAAAGAAAGGATCCAATGAGGGCACTCCCTCAACAGGGGCCGTGACAGCCTGTCTCTGCCTCCCCTGGCATTGTTGGCTGGAATTTCCCACTCGGCCTGGCCTGTGGCCCGGCCTTCCCTCCACTCAGTGAACTACTCCACCCTCCTTGAAAGGCTTTGTGCTAAAATGATTTTGTGCTCACCTTTCTGGAAAAAGTGTTTTCACAGAGAAATTTAAATTAAAATTAGGCTATTCCACTGGGAATGTACAGAACCAAATGCAAATCAAGAGACTTCAAATGCAAATAGTACTTTTTAAGGGTCTATTCTAAAAAGAAAACTATAGCTGAACAGGCTATGGATAAACTGGGTGTTTGACAGGTCTTTCAATTAAGTGTGATCAAGAGGGAATTTTATTTCGAGGAGGGTTTGTGCACAGTCCTGAGTTAACTTCATTGCAATATCTCCTCAACTTCATCCTATTTCTACAAAATACCAACCATAGATATTACTACAGAAAGGAATTTGTTTAACTTTAACTTATCAACAATAAACAGGTATCAGGGGCCTTCTTCAGAGCCAATGAAATAAAATTTTATTTTCAAGTTTAATGTTCTAAGAAAATATTATGAGAATGCTTAATTAAAATGCATATTTTTGCCTAAAAGATCAGCACAGCCAGGTACTTTTGCAAAAGAGAATGAACTCACAATTCAATTGATCCCATAATAAAGTCTTATTGAAAAATCTCTTAAATTGCCTTCCCTTCATGGTATTATAAAGGTCATCAAGACAATAGACAAAATAAATATGATAGCTTTTAGTACACGTACAGTCCATTACATACAAGATTGATTTTCCAAATGTCTGGTACTTGGGAAAATGTAGTGGGCTCCCCTCACTTCCCACTCCTCACACTGCCTGTGTTAAGTTTATCCTCATTTACACATTTTAAGGCTTCTGATGCAGTGTTGTTAGCAAGTTGGGGACCTCTGTGAGACAATCTAGCCAAATTGACAATGTTTTCTAAGGGTGGCAACTCAAAACTGTTCTTGGGAATGCCTGGAAGCTTATTTTGTCCATGAAGCTTTTACAAATAGATCAAAGAAAAGTGCAGCATGGTGAAGCGCAAAGAGCAGCAGCGTGGGAGTGAGACAGAGGTTCAAATCCCGACTCTGCTATGCACTAGCTGTGTTGACCTTGACAAGTGGTTTCCCCTTTATCTGTAAAATGAGGACAATCTCATCCACTTACAGGTTACTGTCTTAAGCCACAGGTGGATAAGGCACTCTGTTTGGTGCCTGGCACTAAGAGTGGGTATCAATGACAGGTAACAGTCATTATCATCACGTGATGGTGCCCCTTGACCTATCCTGTGGGGCCTTGTTCTTCACGTCCACCTCTTAGCAAGGACTCAGAAAGATGAGCATCACACAGCTCTGGTTTTCCGGGAATATTCATTTCAGTGCAAGCAATTCATTCCACTATAATAAGACTTTTCATACAGTAACATGAATGAATCAGAAAATGTAAGTTCTTCAATACATTATCTATTTAGTTTTATTTTAGAAATCCCAGCTCTGCCACTTACTAGTTATATGGAACTGAGTGATTAACCTTACTATGACTTAGGTTTCCAATCTGTGGAATTACACACATGTCAGATAATGTGTGTGAAGTATTTAGCACAGTGCCTGGCACGTAATACCCCAAACTACATTATTTATTACCCTCATCATTACTATAAAACTTGATCACTAAATGTTTTTACTGCTGATGCACATTTTTGCTCTCCATTTTCATTTTACTCATCACTCCTTTCATTTTGATGGATGTCAGAATTGTCTGTTTTTGACCAAGTCCCCATAAATAAAGCAAGCTGATTGATTTCACCGAACTGGTCAAGCTATTAAATCAAGAAGACAGCTACTTTGGAAAAATCAAGTCAAACTGGTCTATAAACTAAGAGGACCATTTAATCAAGTTGGCTGATTCCATACTCCTACATAGTTGCATTCAAGACCACACGTTCCTTGAGTGGTGGGAGAGTTCTGTTCTCTTATCAGATGTGCATGGCTCCTGGACATAGCTGAACACGAGAAAAGCGCCTCCGTTGGTGATACAGATATGTTAAAAAGATACATGTGGTTTCATTATTTGAAACAATGAGGCCGGGAAAGAGGTATGAAGAAACAATCATCAAATAACATATAAATAAGTCCAAATAGCATATAGCAACTTTGTTTAAATAGGTATGTTTCTAAAAATGAATTTTGAATATGAATTAAATGAACTGAGTTTTCCTCTATGTTGGTTCCTATTTTCTTTCCAGAGTGGCTAAGTCTAACTGGATCACCTGTTACATTTTGGAGTTCCTACCATCCCTGAAACCCTGAAAGCCATTACCTACTACCCTGAAAATGTACTTTCTAACATGCACACACACACAATCTTTCATGTGTGATTTCAGGGTTGAGAAGCTGCTTGTAGCCCAGCCCACGCATGGATCACCTCTGGAGAATAAGATTCCTTAAATAATCAAGCTTTTAGAATTTTGTTTTCATTCTTGATTGGCCTTTGGTTTAGGAGCTCCTAACGTTTTAGATTTAAATTGTTCCCTTTCTTCCTATCTTACCATCAAAGCTTTCATTTAAGCAGCTGATTATCTAAAAACAAATACTTTTGTATTCTAAGAAAGCTTACTATTTAAACAAACCCCGTGATTAAATTTTTGCAAAGTGAATAATTATCATGTGTTTTATAAATTTAGACATTCTTAATTCCAGTTTTTTCTTATTGCCAATATACATGGCATCTGCTTACTTGCTTCTATTTAATTGAACTTAGAAGATAAATTAGACAAATGAGAAGTACAATGTTCAAAGACTTTAACACCTTTCAGCTATCTGAGGTTATTAATAAAGCAGGTGAAGATCTTTATTAAGATTTCCTTCCGAACAGACACCCATATCTTTTTGGCAAGATCCCTTTAATTAAGAATCTCTGTCACAAAAGCATATGATATAGCCTGGGGAGCATGAGGTTTAAAGTTTATTGATACCATAAGTCTCTGTAAAAATGGCATTAAAACTCCCACAACCACATCAGAATTACAACTAAACTACACAACAACCATCATTCAGAATTGCCTAAAATCTTGCTGAATGAAAGTCCTACAACTAAAGATATAAAGAAGCTGCCACATCGAGACTGGTAGGAAATGCAGAGATGCTGAATAAGCTGGTTCCACACCCACATGTAGTGGATAAAAACTGAGAGGGATATCTCAGCTGTGGAGATTCCCTCTGAGGAGTGAGGGGTCCCATCCCCACACCAGGTCCTCCAGCCCAGGGTTCCAGTGCCAGGAAGAGAAGTCCTCATAACTTTTAGCTGCAAAAACCAGCCAGGATGTGGCAGAGTGAGACAGAGGGCTTCTGGGTTCCCAGGAAGTTCCTCTTAAAGGGCTGCACACAGATTTACTCAGTCTCACTTGCTCTAAGCTCCAGCACTGGGGTAGCAGCTTAAAAGGCACCAGGGACACAAGGGTAGGAACTGGACTTTCTGGCATCAGGGGCAGCTTTCTCCAAGACAGAAGTGCTGGCAGAGGCCATTGTTCCTTTTCTGAGCCCTCCCCCTAAACCAGGTAGACACCATATCTGAGCCTCCATCAACCTAGCTATCACTGTTTACCTGACCTGGTAACTCCCTGAGACCCCCACACTCCTAACCTGTGGGCCTACCCAAGTTGTTTCCAGTGGCTTTTCCACACAAATGGCCTGTCTTGGCTCACACTTCAGACTTTTCTATCATCTCTTGAATAAGCAGCATCTGGCCTTGGCATACCCTGTATCTCTCACTAAGTGGCCCCAGGACCAGCACTAGCAGAAGCTTGCCTTGGTTCACCACTTGGCCTCTCCTAGGCAAAGCTCAGCACAAGTAGCAGTCATCTACAGACTGCTTTGTAGCTCAGGCTGGGTGATCCTGGGCAGAATACAGGTGGTAGCTGACCTTGGCCTGTACCTCCTGGGAGGCCCTAGAGCGAGTATACCTAGTAGACAGCTTCAGACCATTTTGAAGCATCACCTGACTACCTCCACAAGCAACATACTCAGGGGTGGACTCAGTGGGCATCAGAGCCCTGCTGAAGAAAGTCCTGCTCCATGGCGTGACCCTTCATGGTGGTCAGAGCCAGTTTTTGCAGCCAATATATATACATGTAAGTCTTGCCCACTGACTTGCCAACAGCAATCAAGGCTCAACTACAAAAGAAGGGTATACACAGCCCATATGTAGGTATGGGGGAGGGGGTGCTAAGTATCTAGAGTATCCAGCTCCAGAGAACAAGAAGGCTGTGCCACTGGACCCTGCAGGACACCCACTACATTAGGTCACTCTATCAAGCTGGGGAGACACTGCAGCTCTACCTAATACATTAAAAAAACAAAAACAAAAACAAAACAACCCACAGTGAGGCTGCCAAAATGAGGAGAGCAAGAAACATGTCTCAAATAAGAGAACAGAATGAAACCCCAGTAAAAGAACTAAACAAAATGGAGACAAACAATATACTAGATGCAGAGTTCAAAACACCAGTTATAAGGATGCTCACTGAACTTAGGGGAAGAGTAGATGAATTTAGAGAGAACTTCAACAGCATAATAAAGTACATAATAACCATAAAAAAGGACCAGTCAGAAATGAAAGATGCACTAACTGAAATGAAAAGAATAATTTACATGTAGAGTAGATAGAGCCAAGAAACAAAACAGTGATTTGGAATATAAGGAAGTAAACAACACCCAGTCAGAACATCAAGAAAAAAAAAGTAAAAGAAATAAGGATTATGTAAGGAGCCTTTGGGACAACTTCAAGTGTACCAACATTTGAATCATGGGGGAACTGGAAGGAAAAAAGGGAGCAAGAAATTGAAAATGTATTTGAAAAAATAATGATGTAAAACTTCCTTAGCCTGGTGAAGAAAATAGACATTCAAGTGCAGGAAGCACAGACTCCTAAATAAGATGAACTACAAAAGGTCCACACCAAGACACATCATAATTAAAATACAAAAGGTAAAGACAAAGAGAGAATCTTAAAAGTAGCAAGAGAAAAGCAATTAGTTACCTACAAGGGAACTCCCATTAGGCTGTCAGCTAATTTCTCAACTAAAACTTTGCAGGCCAGAAGGGATTGACAAGCAATATTCTAGGTGATGAAAAGCAAGGTTCTACAACCAAGATTACTACCCAGCAAATCTATCATTTAGAATAGAAGGATAGATAATGAGGTTCCCAGATAAGAAAAAGCTAAAGAAGTTCATCACCACCAAACTAATATTACATGAAATATTAAAAGGTCTTCCTGAAGAAGAAGGTGAACAAGAAAAAAAAATAAAAAATATGAATGGTAAAATGGTAATAAATACATATCTATCACCAATTGAATCTAAAAAGCAAAATAAACAAATTAGCAGAACAGAAACAGACTCATACAAACAGAGAACATTTTGACAGTTGTCAGATGGGAGGGAGGTTGGGGAAGAGAGTGAAAAAGGTGAACGAATTAAGAAGTACAAATTGGTAGTTACAGAATAATCCTGGGGATGTAAAGTACAGCATAGGGAATATAGTCAATAATATTGTAATAACTACGTGTGGTGTTAGATGGGTATGAGCTTTATCTGCATGATTACTTAGTAAGTTACATAATGTCTAATCACTGGGCTGTACACTAATATAATATTGTATGTCAACTGTAATTGAAATATTAAAAATTAGAAAATGACTGCTTTAAATTTATAGGGAAATACAGTTGATCTTTGAACATAGGTTTGAATTGTACTCATTCACTTACATGCATATTTTTTCAATATATACTATACAAGTATTTTCTCTTCCTTATGATTTTCTTAGTAACATTTTAAAATTTTTTAAAAGTGGCATTAAAGTATCTTACAGCAATGGCTTGAACTGTAGCCAGGTAGAGAATGGCAAGATCATCAAGGTCCTGAGACAGTTTCAATCCGGTGACCTAGAGAGATGAAAACAAAAAAAGAAGATGATGGCCAAAAGGAACTACCGTGGATAGAGTCGGTTCCCATGAAACACGTTCAGATGTGTTTCTTGCCAAAACAAGTTCATATGCAAATCCCCTTTTTGTCAGCTGAATGTGAAATGACTACTAAATCATTTAATCTCCAGACCTGGGAAAACTAGTTCTTCTTCAGAGAAACCCTTTGCCTTGAATTAAACAAAAACCAAACAAATACTATAGAAAGATTGTGTTTGAGATTTCTGAGCATGGAATAAAATTTCTTTCCTCTTTAAAAAATCTGTTATTACAAACATCTTTCACTTACAGGAATCAACAACATGTAGCAGGGGCATTCTTACAAAAGCTGACCTTATTTCGAATTCTGCTACTGTCAGGACTCAGTGTGACAGCATCCAAAGAGTATTCAGGGTAAAATAATATGTCTGCTATAAATGTTATATCTACTAGGGGATAATTTAGAATCTGTGGTTTGCAAGGGAATCCCATTAAAATCAATCGGAACCACATGCTTATATGGAGTGTGTCAATCTCTGAGAGATTCCAGAACTGAACAGGATGTTGGGTTGGGATGCCTTTGAGACTCATTCGCCATCCCACTTTCATAACTCCCATTCATCAAGGTGTTCTCTTGGGACCTTTCTAGAGGGTTAAGACCGCTGGTTCTGACAAACCTAGTGTGAATTTGTGGACACTGATACCAGAGTTTACTTTTTATTTTCACATTACAAAAATTAATTCACCTAACATACTTTTACTCAGGGCGTACAGTATACATGGTCCAAAATTCAATGAGGTGGCAATGTGCACCCTATGTTACAATAGGGGGGCCAGGAGGTCTCTACACAGGCCCCTCTCCTTCACCTCTCCAGATTCCATCCCCAGCCGATATGCAGGGGCCAGTAGTGGCCTGTTGGCAGGACACAGATACCATTCTGTTACTGAAACCAGAAAGTTGGAAGCACTCTTCCTTGACTTTTCTCCCCCTTCCCATATTTAGTCAGTCTCCAAGTCTTGTATATTTGATCCCCCATTTTTTTGCCTTTATGCCTTCTTCATCCTCACTGTTTCATGCTTCCTTAAACTAGGCCACCATTTTGTCCTTCCTCATTGCTGAATTAGCCCTGAGCAAATACTTCTTTCTAATGGTGCTCCTCTCTACCATGGAGCTACTGATTATTCTCAAATACAAATCTGATCATGTAACTAACTCCCTGTTAAAAATTCTCCACCTTACCCTGATTTAAAAAAATTTTTTTTTAAATTTTAATCCTCACCTGAGGACATTTTTTTCTCATTGCTTTTAGAGAGAGAGAAAGGGAGAAAGGAAAGGAGAGACAGAGACATCAATGTGAGAGAGTAACATTGATTAGTTGCCTCCCATACATGCCCAGATTGGAGATCGTATGTGCCTGGACTGGGGATTGAACTCACAACCTAGGTATATACCTTGACTGGGAATTCACAACCTTTTGGTCATGGAACAATGCTCCAACCAACTAAACCACACCAGCCAGAACCTCTTTTCCCTCAATGAGAGGCAGAAATGTCTTCTTCCTAGGCTCGCCCCTGTTCACTACTCCAGTGTCCAAGCTTGCTTACTTAGCATCTTGTGTGCCAGCTATTCTGAGTACTCATCTAAGTTTGTTAATAAGGGGATTCCTGCAGAGAATTTTTCTTGGCAAATATTTGGGCAGCTAGATGAGAAAAATGTCTTTAATTTTAACCCATAGGAGCATGGAAGGTCTGAATGAGAGACAAGAGAGGAACTCTGGGGGTGCATTCTCTCAAGCCAATAACTCTCTGGGAAGGGACATCTCTCACGAAATTCTCCAGAGATCTACATAGATAGTGAGCATGCTTGAACTGGGCAAAACATAAATAATGCTGACAATATAGAAGTTCATTTCATAATCTTCCTCAGGAAATAATTTGCCTACGGGAACACAGAGGATGGAAACCAAAACCTAGGTATTCTGACAGACTTTCCTGATGTTATTCACCACAGTGTCTTCAATGCCTAGCACAGTGCCTGGCACATAGCAGACACTAAGTTAATACGTGTTGAATGTGTGAATTAGTGACAATTCTACGTTCCCTCTTCCTTTTGTACACTGTTCTCTCCTAATATTCTTTCTTTCTGTCGTTATACAATTATGAGAAGACAATGTTTACTACCTTGGTTCCTCATACACTCACAGAGGGGAAGAGTCATTTGTTCCATGCCCTGAGAGAGAACTCTGAAGATCACTTATAGCTGTTTGCTCTGTGCTCCCAGCACCTCCAACCTCCATACTTACCATTCCTCATTGGAGGAGTGGCTTACATAAGACTGGAGTAAAAGTAGGGTCCTTTTAGTGTACATGGAAACTTTGTGTGAACTAGAAAAAAGGTGCCCCCTTCCAATGGATTAAATACATAAGGCATCACATCTGGGAAAATGAATTATAAAAAGGAACAGAGTGGACAGGATTTCAGCCCTGTCATATGCCCCCTCAACTGAATGTCTTGTGTGAGTAACCAGCACCATGACATGCAATAGTCCTGGTCATGAATGGTCTCAGTCTCTCTTTCTCTCCCTCCTCTCTTCTATACTCACCTAGCCTCAATAACATCTCTGTTGTGGGTCTTCTGGGAAAGCCAACTGCGCCATGGCTTAGAGCTCTCTTCTAGAGCCTGTCTAGAAGGCAGGCCACTTCTGGCTTCCTCTCCCTGGTCATCAGTGTCACATGAATCAAGTCATGTTCACCAGCATGACTGTGTATGTATCTGCTTGGCAGAGCCACATGTTCCTAAAGGTTAGTCCTGAACCAAATGTAAGTAAATTGTAATGGGGGTTGGGGAGAAGTTTGACTTGTAGATAAGATGTACTCTATTAATTTGTTAGAAATCTCAGTAATGTGTATAATAGCATTGATACTATTGCTAGTTCTATTCTTCAATTAGGAAGACTCCAGAAAAGAGGAGTGTCCTATCACCAGATTTAGCTTTCTTAATCCCCAGCAAATATTCATAAGAAATTCCAAAAAGTATTAGTATTTGAGCAAAAAGATATCATGGACCCTTCTCTAAATTTCTAGTGCCTCCTGAGTTCAGAAATCACAGTGCAGAAAAGAGAAGATAGAAACTGAGAATGATATAATAATGTTACTGAGCACTAAATTTAATTGTTGAGCTTGTTAGGAGCTATGACAAAAGGAGATACATAATGGGTGACATAGCTTTCCTTTTTTCGATACATAAAACATACCTCTCCTTCAAGGAGAAAGAGATATTCCTGGGAAGAAGACACTTAGTACTGAAGGGCATCAGCCCACACACTTCCGTCATAGACATTTCCAACATGTCCTCCCCACTAGCACCAGGGCTATGGAGTTGCAATGTGCCTCACTGAAAAACATTTCTCTACAGTGCAAAGTTACTATGGCCGGGGCAAAGAGGTCCCTGCTTCCTTGACATCAAACCTGATATGCAGATAGAAACAGTAGAGGGCATACGTTCATTCAGTCCATTGATGCTTAATACCAGGGGTCTCAGCCCTGCCTTGACACAAGTCGAAAGACAGTCAGCCCCAGATGGAACTGGCTGCCATGTGGACCACCTGGGAGGCCAGAGAGGGACCTTAGGGAGCTGTGTTGGTAGGAAAGGGGCAGCAGTGCCCTGGGAGTTCTGGGGACATGTCCTAGAGTAGGTACAGCTTCGTAACCAGTGAGAAAACTGGGAGAGGACTGATGTGTGGATACCCCTGGCTGAAGGCTGAAAGGTTCCATCAGTAAGAAGAAGTGGGAAGGAAGCATAAGTGGAAGAAATGTGTCCACAGATGTGCACGTGCCTGTTTTGAATGTCTGGATGAGACAGTGAATGTATGGGGAAGTCCCATGGGACAGCTGCAGTGGTAAGCATATTTATTTATTTTGGCTATTGTGTAATGAGAACTATAAGAGAAAACACAATTATTTAGAGATGTGTGAAAGCTATATATGTTGGCCAAAGAGATGCAAATTGTGTCTGATCATTTCAACATCTTAGATAACCATTATAAAATGCTTATGTACATCTTGGGATTTGTTAGCTTAGAAGAGAGGTGTAGATGAATGAAAAGATGATGAACTTAGGAACAAGACATCTGGATTTAAATCTTGACATTCCCCCTAACTGGCTGCATGACAGTGTGAGTTTTGTATACTCTCTGAGCCTCAGTTTTTTTTACTTATAATATCTCAAGGTACTTGTATGAAGATTACATATCATTTGCAAAATGCCTTACTTTTTCAGCAAGCTGTACTGAGTTTACAAGAGCTAGACACCTGTAGTGCCAACCGTGGGTACACAGGTGACACTTAAGTTGGACCCACGGAAACACACACCAAGGCACATCATAACTATATTACCCAAGATTAAAGAGGAGAGAATCTTAAAAGCAGCAAGAGAAAAGGAAACAGTTACCTACAAAGAATTTCCCATAAAAGTATCAGCTGATTTCTCAAAAGAAACCTTACAGACAAGAAGGGGCTGGAAAGAAGTATTCAAAGTCATGAAAGGCAAGGACCTATATCCAAGATTCCTCTATCCAGCAAAGTTATCATTTAGAATGGAAGGGCAGATAAAGTGCTTCCCAGAGAAGGTCAAGTTAGAGGAGTTCATCATCACCAAGCCCTTATTATATGACATGTTAAAGGGATTTAAAAAGAAGTAAAATAACAACACAACAAACTCATAACTATCAAAACCGAATGTAAAAAAGCAAAAACAAACAAAGCAAACAACTGGAACAGGAACAGAATCACAGAAATAGAGATCACATGGAGGGTTATCAGTGGGGAGGGGAACTCTTTCCTGGGATCCTGGCTGAACGCAGATTTCCTGAGACCCAGCTCCAGATCAACTGAACCATTACTATGGGCCCAGTGACTTGCAGTTTTGGCCAGGCTCTGGTGTACAACAAGGTGTGGGAACAACTGTCCTTAATCTTGGTATTG